TGAGTCATCTTCTTCTTTACATTTTCTTCTTCGTTCCCTTTCTCGGATTTGCAGGTAAGAATCACAAACAAACAAAAAAACGCAAAAAAAGATTGTTTTAATTTTACTTGTTTTGAAACTCATAGCTTATAATCTGTATAATGCAGGAGCTGGTCAAGAATCAACAAGCATTGAAGCTATGAATCTCCATCACAAACTCCTTCAACTTCCTCAAATCACTGAACTTGATCTTGCTGTTTCCGTAAGTGACAACAAAACCATTACTGAGATTTCCTCAAACATCATAAAAGCTGAAACTTGGCTAAAAACCCATGTCCTCTCTCGTTACCCATCCACCAAAATCACCACCATTGTTGTCTTTTTCCCTGATTCTTGCCAAACCAAACCCATCTTTGATCTTGCTCTGTCTTCTATGAAGAACCTACACCATTCTCTTACAAGATGGGGTCTTGAGAAGAACATCAAAGTCTCCTCTGGCTTCTCTTACAAATGCTTAAACAACAACTCAGAAATGTTCAAGCCTGTTTTTATCTTCCTCAAAGCAATAAACTCCACTTTCACCATAAACCCACCTCTAGATTTCCTCTCTTCACCTCATAATCATCTTGATTTGCTTCAATCCGTGGAAAAGCTCGGATCTTTAAGCTTCAACAAGGTCAATTTCTTAAACCCTGAAGCTACAACGACGATGACAAGAAGAAGCTTAAGATCTTTAGTCAATTTCCCAATTTTACCCTCTCCATCACCGGAAAACTCACCGGTTCACTCCTCAATCGGATTTTCATCACCACCCACAAACCCTAATCCCCCAATTTCACAACCTCCGATTTCCTCCCCTTTCCCATTTCCGCCGGAGTTATCACCTCTTTCCGATCCAAGTCTCTCTCTTCCGCCGTGTCTTCCTCCTTCTCCGACGCCGTCACCGGCTCCGGCGAAGAAGAAAGACGTGGAAGGGTTATGGTGCGTGGCGAAACCGAGCGTAGCGGCGGAGACGTTGCAACAGTCTCTGGATTTTGCGTGTGGACAAGGAGGAGCTAATTGCGATGAGATTAAACCTCATGGGATATGTTTCTATCCAGACACAGTCATGGCTCATGCCTCTTATGCTTTCAATAGTTACTGGCAAAAGACTAAACGAAACGGAGGCACTTGCTCTTTCGGTGGTACCGCAATGCTTATTACAACTGATCCAAGTAAACTAAAAAAAAATCAGATTTTTTCTCGTGAGATTTCGTTAGAGAAATTGCAAAA